GAATGGAGTTTCCTGAACAAAATCCACATTCGCGTTCAGAATTCCGTTTGTTCAAGAAAACATTTTCCATCTTGCTTCTGTGATTTTTCTATGGTTAAAATCAATCCTACATTTACCACTATGAACTATTAGAAAATTGAACTGAATTTCTACCGGTGTATGGCCAGCTTTGCAGAATAATCTGTCATGTGTAGAGTACAGTAACCTATGGCAACCAGGTTTCATCTTTTTCCATGTGACTACAGCAGACTGAAATCCTAGTGCCTGTTAAAGTGACATTAAAGGCTAATTCTTTTTCCCCTTAATCCGATCATCTTCTTCTTTCCTGTTCTTTTCATCTGTCCCTCCAGTGCTGGTGCGGCGGCTCTCCGATCCAGCGCTGACTCCTCTGTCCTCCTCTGCTGTCCCACAGTGTCTGTGCGGGTGCACGCTGCTCCATAGACTTACCTTGTGTCTCTCCTCGTCTCCCGGCCGAACATCTGAACTACGCTTGCGACCGCCCCAAGAACCTTTGCGGCCGCCTGGGAAATGTTCAGATGTTCGAACGGGAGCGTGCGGCGGAGACACAGGTAAGTATTAACCCTTACAAAAAGTTTTTGTTTTTTTTTAAATAGTTTTGCATATATTTACTGTTTGCTAGCAGTAGATATATGCAAAAACAAATGAGGGTTTAATAACCTTTTCGCTGCCAAGCCCTCTGGAACATTTTGCACCTCACCATTGTCGCAATTTTTCTCATTCATTTGATTTTCGACTGCTGCGTTGCTAGCGTTTGTAAAAGACCCCCCAAACCATATCTTTTCTGAAAGCACAGGCCTGGTAGAATAAAAATATAGTTCTACTAAATTTGTAGGCCCTGGAGCGGCTCGACAGGGATCAGAAGCTGAACATGCCAACGGCCATCGGCCGTGGTGACGGCAGGGGTGGGGGGAGTGCCCGGAATTTTAGTTAATAGCTGTCATCAGCGACTTGTGAGCCGCTGATGACAGCTATTAATTTAGAGGGGACAGTCTGGGGAACCGCTGATGACAGCTATTCATTTAGAGGGGACAGTCTGGGGAACAGTTCTGGAATAAGTTCATGGTCGCTAAAGCGACCATGAGCTTTTAGCAGAGCTGTAAATGCCAGCGGCGTAAGGCATACTGACCTGGCCAGCTGAGAACAGTTTTGTTCCGCCATATGCCTTTACGGCGCTTGCAGGGAAGGGGTTAAGGGCACACATTGGGGTGCCATCAAAAAAGAATGTGGTATCCTGCGTGTCACTGCAAGGCATAAGTGTAAATGAGCCCCTTATTCCTTAAGGCCCGGTTCACACCTGGGCGTTTTGTAGCGCGTTCCTACGCTCTGCAAAACGCTCAAACCCCGAAATCCCTTTATTTCCTATGGGTATGGTTCACACCTGGGCGTATTACAGGCCGTATGAACGCGCTACAAAACGCCCTACGCCCAAAGAAGTACAGGAGATTCTTTGGGGCGCATTTGCCACACGTATCCATTGGCATACAGCCAGGTAGCCCTCGGAAACGCGTGTTTCGCAGGTAAAAACGCGCATATTCGATACGCCTAGGTGTGAACCCAGCCTAAGGGCCTGTTTACATGAGTTTCAGGTGCGGATCTGCAGACGCTTTGCTGTGTGTTTTGCCACGTTTTTGATGCGTTCCGTGGGGCTGTCAGTATGTTAGCTGCAGTGCGTTTTTGACGCGTTTTGCGTTTCCGGACCGTTTCCTGACCGTACAAAATGTGACATGCAGTATTTTTTCTGTCGTAACCTGAACGGACTGCGCACGTGAGAACTGTAGCCCATAAAACACATAGGGATACATTGGGGTGCATTTTTAGTGCAGGAGCGTATGGATCAGGTCAGCACAGAAAACAGACGTGTGTGAACAGGCCCTTATAGATAGGTCTGGACGGACTGAATATTCCGGCTCTTGTTTCTGCTTCTATGACTTGTTTTATGAGTTTAACAAAAGCCCACTAGGGGGCCGTACAGACCGCAGTATATTTATTTCCTGCACTTTCTACAAAACAGGCCACATCACGATACAATAACTGCTGTACACAGCACCCGTGACTTCCAGATGGGGAAATACACCCAAATGTATGTTATACAGCCCCAGCCCCCATACACCGATCAGCCATAACATTATGACCACTGAGAGGTGAGGTGAATAACATTGATTATCTTGTTACAGCAGCACTTGGGAGTGGGGAGGATATTTTAGGAGTGAACATTTTGTGCCTGAAGTTGATGTGTTGGAGGCAGTAAAAAACGGGCAAGTGAAAGGATTTGAGGGACTTTGACAAGGGCCAAATTGTGATGTCTAGATGACTGGGTCAGAGCAACTAGAAAACTGCAGCTCTTGTGGGATGTTCCCGGTCTGCAGTGGTCAGGACCTACCAAATGTGATACAAGAAAGGAAAACCAGTGAACCAGCAAGAGGGTCATGGGCGGCTAAGGTTCCTAGATGCACGTGAGGAGCAAAGACAGGCCCATGTAGTCTGATCCAATAGCTCAAGTTGCTGAAGCTCAAATTGCTGAAAAAGTTTATGCTGGTTCCGATAGAAAGATGTCTGAACACACAATGCATTGCAGTTTGTTGCGTACGGGACTGTGTAGCCGCAGACCGGTCAGGATGTCCATGCTACATTGGGTACGTGAGCATAACGCGACCACGGAGCAATGGAAGAAGGTGGCCTGGTCTGATGAGTCACATTTCATGTGGATGGGCGCGTGTGCGGCTTACCTGGGGAAGAGATGGCACTGGGATGCACTATGGGAAGATACCAAGCTGGCGGAGGTAATGGAATGCTTTGGG